AAGATAGAAGATCTCATGTTCTGTCTTTCTGTAGCATAGTTACAAGTACTTTTTGTTTTATTTTGTTTACATGGCCTTTTAATATGTATTCCTGGTTTGGCAAAATATTAACTGGAAACAATTTCAAACTTCTTTAACTTAGAATTGTTGAGCCCGAGGTTGGTATTTCTTCACAAATACTGATGACTTTTTCTTTTCTTAAAATAATAGAAGTTAAAAAAAAGAAAGAAAGAAAGAATTGTGTAAAGAAAGACATGTATTTTGTTTGGCCTCACTGAAATACCACTTGGCTCCAACCAGCCCGTATTTCCTGACTCTGACTATGCCCTGAAGCAGTGAAAGGGTAGCAGTTCTTAAAATGAGATTTAAGTTTGTGTATTTGCATTCCTCTCAGTTTTTGAGTTGTTAGTCTCAGTTGGCCCAGCGTTGTGAAGCCTGAGTGAATTTCCTTAGTGAAACTTAACAGTAGGGAATCAGTATTGTTCAAAATTTGCTTTGCTAGTGGCTAAAATGAAAAGAATCTATTTTTTCATGCAATTGCTTTTTTCACGTAGTCTGCATTCTCACCATACTCTATCTAGACAATATTTATTAATACATGTTATATGCTTTTATAAATAATTACAGGCTATTCAAAAATTGTGACATAAAAGTGACCCAGTTAAAAAAAAAGTACTAGGTCAACTTCATTGCTGGCTTGAACTAGTTAGCATTTCCTGTGGGAAAGCGATCCACTTTCCTGACATAATTGATAATGTGTGTCACAAATAGAAATGACAAGCCTGGAATTTGCACTATCCTCTCCTCTTGCTTTTAAAGTGGAATATGCTTTTCACAATTCATCTGTGACCTGAGAAATCCCCTTTACATGGATAAAGCAAAGCACTAAGGAAACCTGTCCAAGGTCACACAGTGGACTGCAGCAGAGCCGAAATGCATGCCAGGAATTGCTTCTTAGAAATGCTGTTGTTAGTGCTCTAGCTATGCGGCTTTGATGGAGGTCTTAACTGAGAACTTTTCCCCTGAGTACTTGGCAGACTTAAAAAGCATGTGTAAACAATATACACATTCCATCTGACTCTGAAATGGAGCCCCTGTAGGATACAAATAGCACCTATTCCCCACCCGTGGCCATGCTTCCCACAGGTTAGCAATGAGGTTAGTTATGAGAATTGTGCAGAGTATGCGGAGTGTGTTGCTGGGATCAGTAGCAGCATCTTCAGTATTGAAACAGTGGCGAGGCTAAGCGCTATGAGTGGCTGTTGTTGTCAGCCTACTTCGATACATGCTTAAATGCTTTTCTAAAATCAAGTATGATATGAGGTGTGAGGAGAGTGGGAAGAACATAAAAAGGAAAAGATAGTAGGCAGAAAGCAGAATGGAAAAAAAGAAAAGATATATGAAAAAAAGAGAAATAGAGAAAGAGGTATTACTCATTGGGCTTTGGAGTCAGACTGATTCCAAAGCTGGTTCAAATCCCAGCTTTGTAAGTTCCCTACTATACATTTCACTTAAATCAGGAATTGTCACTCAACTGTATTAAAGGGAAATGGTAATGAGATATTGTTATTATCAAATAATGAACATCCCTATGTATAATGGTGGTTTCTGGCTTCAATTTTGGAGAGATTGCGTTTCCTCTGCAGTTTGGAGACTTCAGTGTTACCAGTTAGGATTTGGTTTGGCTGGATTGTGATGGAAAACCTATATAAAGTTTAACCCACAAGATTGTATTTTCTCACATAAAGAAGTCCAGAGGTAGGCAGGCTAGAGTTTGGTGGTTCATCAAGTTGCAAGAGCCCCTGGCTCCTTCCAACTTTTTGCTCAGCCATGCTTCATCTCCATGGCTCAGCATGGCTGCTGGAGCTCCAGCTATTGCATCCTTGTTTCAGCTAGCAGGATAGATGAAGACAGAAGGAGAGATCACCTGTCCCTTCCAAGGAGATTTCCCAGAGTGCCATGTTTTACATCTCATTGGCCAGAGCTGAGTCCTGGTCACACATATTTACAAGGGGCCTAGGAAGCATAGTTTTCACTGGTTCTCTATTTTTTTTTGAGTATTGTGGCCTTGTGTATGGGCTGTAGCAAGAAACATTGTGATCCTTAGGAAGATGTTTCAGAAAGGAAAACTATTATTAGTGATAATAATAGTAACTTACATTTGAAGTGTCACAGGCACTGTGTTCAAAAATGTGTAAGAACCATCTCGTTTAGCCTTCCTTTAATATAGATGTCATGATTTTCATTTAACAGAACAGAAACTGAAGCTTTAAAAGTTTTAAGCAGTTTGCCCGAGGTTTTATCACTAGTGAGTGGCAGAGCTAGAGCGCAGAACCAGGCTTGTCTTTTTACAGATCCCAAGCATTTAATCATTACTTTGCCTCCTACTTCTCAAGTTTTAACCTGGTACTTTATTTGTGTCTACAATGGGATTTTTAAAATCTTCTTTCCTATCTGAAATTTTATGGTCTTCAGCTTCCCTCCTTTTACCTAACACACACACACACACACACACACACACACACACACACTTTCTCTCCTCATTTATTTTTTCCTAATCTTTAAGTATTTTTGTACTTACATAAAAGACCGTGATTTTTAATACTTGGTTAGTTAATTATGAGTTATCTCCTTGTATTTTGGTCAGGAATCTGCATATTAGGGTTTTTAGCAATTTGTTATTTACTGAGCACCCTCTTTCTCGTAGGCACAGCCCTAAAAGCTGTTGGGGATAACAGAGTAAGAAAGAGTCCCTACCCTCAAGGCATTTACAGTATAATTGTTTAGAGAATGGATTTTGGACAAGCCTCTTAGTATCACATTAGGCTGTGATACTACATGCAAGTCACAATTGACCTAGATGTAGACACCCATTTGTCCTTGTAATTACAAGTGCATCATTGTGCCTCTAATGGCCACCCATCCCTTCAAAACATTCCTAAGAAATTAGGTAGAGTAAAATAGGCAATTCTATTTTAGTACTCTTTGTATTTTTCCCTTAATCAACAAGTTTTATGTTATTTATATTAGTAATAAAAGCTTATTAATCTTAATCGACATAAAGAGTTTGTGGGGTTATTTAAAAATAGGTATTAACTGTGTCCATTTGTAAAAATAATTCCTATTTTATGACATTTTGAATGGTGGCAGAAATAATGGGCAAGTGTATTAGAAACCCCAGTGAAACGGGACCAATGTGACATTTGGCACCAGAGCCTGTCAGTTCAAGTCTGGGTAGGTTTTATCACTGATGTACTTTTTATAAGATATGAGAAGAAAGATGTTTCATCTGACAGGCTGTGGAAGAGGGAGCCTTATCCAGGATGTGAGGTTGATGACAAAATCTCACACAAAACCTCCATTTATTCCAGTCTTTGTACCTGGAAATTGAATATTAAGAGAAGGGACTGGGAAAGATTCCTGTTGTGTCCATTTTTCTGCTTTGTTTTCTAGTGCATCCATTGCATCCATTGCTTAATCTTAAAATTATTTCTTTATAAAGGTATAAAATTTTTTTCCATCTGGAACCTACCTATAAATTATTTTGGGTCATTTCCTGATTATGTACATGCGGAAACATTTTGTTCCATAATGGGGAGGTGATTTTTTTTTAATAGGCATAAATATACCATCTGCCTCCGGGATTTGCCTAGAGGTATTCATCCCTGGTCTTTAAGATAATTTGTTATCTGAGCTCCATCGGTTTGAAGAGTCATTTCTTTTTTGCTTAGGTTATTTGTCATACATCATGTGGCTGGACACTTGATTTATAGGTACTAATGCTCCTGGCTCTCCTAATAGTCTCTTTTATCTTTGATGACCTAATTTACTTTATCTGATCATGGAAAACTTAAAATTTCTAGTTGTCCTTGAGATAATGGGTTTCATTATTTATTACCTTGAGTGAATTTTATTTTGAAAACTTACATTTGGCCCCTATGATAATGATAAGTAGCACTTGTGTAGTTTTGGAATTAAATAAACAAACAAAAAAAATGCTTTTCTACATTGCATTTGATCCTCACTGCAACACTGAGGTAAATGGTTTCTGCTCATTCATGATTTCATGTCACCAGGGAGACCTCAAAAAACATGATAGACATGGTTTCCATCCTCCTAATACACTACAGGGGAGAAATGCTTATCATGAATGAGGGAGACCTGTTTTTATAAGAAATCTATAGCTTAGCGAACTTAAGTGACTTGCCCAAAGTTATAGTCAGTATGTGATGAGTTTGGATGGGTGTGTAATGGGTTACTAAACTGGAAAGACCAGTAGGAAGACTTCTAAAGAGTGGTGGAAACTGACCAAAGAGTTGGGGTGTTTTTTCACTAGACAGTGGGTAGCCATTAGAGGCTTTGGATTGAAGTGGTGATGTAATCAAAGTGGTTAGAAAGAATATTCTTGTAGTAAGGGGCTAGTTAAATGAATAAAGATGGCAGAGATGTGGAACAACTGAGAAACTACTGGTCCTTACATGCATAAGATTAAGCCCTGAAATATTAATAGTAGGGTGGTATTCAGGATGGGAGGGAACAAATAAAGGACACTACAGTGAGAAAATGAGAAGGACTTGGTGGCTGACTGCATAGGAGAAGGAAAAGAGAAAGAAAAGTCAATGGTGTTTGAAGTTTCAGGTAATAAGACCTTGATAATAACCACGCATGACAGCAAGGGCTTCAAGAGCATCAGTTAAGAGAAGCTCAAATGTCCATTGTTACGACTTCCTTCTCAGATCATACCTTTGATGGCGATCTCTTTAGAGTACTTCTGAAACCAGGGTAACGTTCCTTCCTGCTCTCTTCATTCTGGATCTGATCTATTCTGGTCTGTCCTAAGAGGGCACAGAAAATTGCCCCCAAAGATTGGAAATTGTGAGAAGACGCAGCTAAGACCATGACCCGGAAGGGGATCTTGTCCTGACTGTGTGAATGTGACAGGTCCACTAAGGCATGTAGGTGGCATGTATTGACAACTGATTCAGTGGGTTGTGTCCTAGGCGTTCTTTGTCGACCACAACTCCCGCACCACCACCTTCATCGACCCCCGGCTGCCCCTCCAGAGCAGCAGACCCACCAGCGCGCTGGTTCATCGGCAGCACCTGACGAGGCAACGCAGCCACAGCGCGGGTGAGGTGAGTCTCGTGCTTTAGGGGCTGATGTGGTGGTTTGTGGAATCGGGCTGGTTTTTTTATTATTTCTTTTCTTTTTTTTTGAGTTTGATTTAGAGACTATCATTTGGAGGCTAAAAATCTTTGAAATGTTGACAGGGCTTCTCTGGAAATACAGACAGCCTAAATTGCAAATTTAAGAGGTAGGGCATATGAGGAAAGAGTGAAGAAATTAAAGATTTTTTTTTTTAACTCAGAGGGAGGTGAGAAGGGATTGACAATGTCCTGTTTATAAAATGTTCAAGAGAAGATGATAAGCCCTTTTGTACCCCCAATGATAGAGAAATGAATGTAACTTTTAGAGGGTGAAAATTTGGTTAAATATAAGGAAGAATTTCTTAATTGAGTTTTTCTGGATTACATTAAAATTTTTGTCCAAGTCTATGGAGTTGTGGAATCCTCACTAGTATTCTTTAAAATTAAGATACAACTGAGAGAGTTGATTTATGCACTCTGAGTGCCTGGAGAAAATGGGCTGAACTAAGAATGTCTGAAAATTGCTGTGCTCTACTTGGCCAGTTTGCAGTGGCCCATTGTAACCACATGAGGGCCCTCTAATATCCTAACCCCCAAAACAAATCTCTTCTTGTTTCAATTTTTCCTTTAGCAGCTTAAATAAACAAAAGGAATGTTTTAGGTCAAGTTTTCTTCTCCCTAATATGGGTCTGTGGTTTGAGTGTATATCATTGCTTGATGTACATTGTTTCCAAAAATTCCCTTAGACAAATAGAATTATTTCCTGCATGCTTTTTCTATGTTTATGTGCATATCATATTTTCAATGTTATATTGTAGGTCAGATATTTTTGTAGCCTCTATTATAAGAAAAAAATTATGAATGCAATAAATAACTGGATTTGATTCATCAAAATTCTACTCTTGGAATTTCCGCTCGTGATTTACGTGCTTGGTCTAATGTATCATGTGTTTGCTGGTCGTAAGTGCAGATATAGAAGAATATACATGAGAAGCTCATATAAAAATGATATTTTTGTAGCCTCTATTATAAGAAAAAAATTATGAATGCAATAAATAACTGGATTTGATTCATCAAAATTCTACTCTTGGAATTTCCGCTTGTGATTTACGTGCTTGGTCTAATGTATCATGTGTTTGCTGGTCGTAAGTGCAGATATAGAAGAATATACATGAGAAGCTCATATAAAAATGATATATAAATCTATTGCAAGATGAGGTATGCACGAAAATATTTATGTTTTATGAGTAGCTAATAAATCTTTAGCTTGCTGTCATGTAAACCACTGGTGGTGAACTGGTTGCTGCTAACAGCATTCATCTTAAAAGCAAAACAGACCTTTGGACCTCATGTGTGATCTCTAGCATAATTAGGTCCCTATCTGTCTTTATCACATGGCCAATGAACTTTAGCCATTTGTCTTATCCTGACTTCACAATATAAAGCTGACTGTTGGATCAGGTCAGGACATTTTCCTGGGAAAACATGCATGAGACTGATAGCTATACTTGCATTTTCCTTCAACCTTAGAACTTGAATTATTTTCATGTTCTAGTAGTAGCCTGTTGTGGGAGAGGGACCCTAAGAGGTACATTAAGACCTCTCCTCCGGTTGATGGAAACTGAGCAGTGGAAGAGAGAGAACTCCACATAGACTCGGTGACCAGCCACGGTGTTGCAAAACCTTCCAGGGGAATGTCCTTTCTGACCCAGCTGTTGGGAGCATGACTATCCTGAAGCACTGCCCATCAGAGGGGTTGCCCACTGCCTGATGGTCTGGCTTCAAGGGAGTGAGGTCTCACAGAGAAGACCTTTGACTTTCCTGGGAAATGGAGATACATGGCAACATACTGACAGGAGGGACAGTATATTTTGGTGTGTTGAAATGATTAAGTTCTCTGACAAACAATGTGTAGTTAATGATTGAATCTCCCCAGAAAGTGGCTGAATTCGTTCCTCTAAGCCAATAACTCAAGAGAAACAGGGTGAGACTGCATGGGTCTTTCTTTCCAGCCACCATCTTATACTCATTCAGCAAATATTCCAGTCAGTGGAAGTATTGGTATCTCTTCCATCGAACAAATTAACATTTACCAAACACCTACTATAATGTGGAAACATAGTGGTTGGTGTTGTGAGGGATACAAACAAATAACACATTTCCTGTGTTCTTAAGAAGAAGAGAAAGTGTGGAGCCATATAACAAATGAATAAAAATAATAGTGAAAAATGCTTTATAAACAGTTTTTTAGTAGTTGGAAAAGAAAAGTATACTTTAATAACTTTTTTAGATAATCATGACTTTTTTTCCTTTTCTTTCTTTCCAGCCTCATTGAGGTATAACTGACAAATGATATGAACTGTTCACAGTGGCAACTGCTTTAGAAATACACACCAGTCTTAGCTATGGGGGCTCAGAGAAGGTGGCATTTAACCCCAGCTTGAAGGGAAGGGAAGGCTTTGCGGAGGAGAGGTTGTTTGAATGACACTTGGAAGAATGAGTGAGCGCATTCTTGAAGGGCATGCAAGCAGTGGAGGGTGGGGAGGATATCTGTAGCATTAGAGCCTCTAGAAAAATCCTTAGCAAACACCTAACTGATGCAATATGACAAAATGGCTGTAAGTGGGAGTAGAAGCTCTATTTTAAAAGTACCAGTGTATAAATCCAGTACAGTATGTTATTTTGCCTTCTGTTTTCTCATTCTCTTATGCTTCTCTTGTACTCCTACTATTGTCTTAAAAGATTTCTGTAATATGGGGTAAATGCTAAAGAAGCTAAAGCAACGTTAAGAGTTTTCCGGTGAGAATATCAATGGGCATTTTTGGTTATCTACCTGCGTATATGAGTTTCTAAATCTATACTAGGTACAATAAATAATTCGGTTTAGGGCAACCCTATTTAGCTCCTCCACACCTGCTCCTATTAGCTCGGTGGCGTGGGAGGCTCAAACCAGAAAGAGCTGTTGTGCTGGATGCCCTAATAGGCATGTAAAATTGCTCCTAAGGCGGTAACATATTAACTTAGAACCCCACACAAAGATTGCTGCTCTTCAGCCCCTCCTCTGCTGAGCCAGGGAATTCCCGAGCCTGTGTTGGCCAAAAGAAGGAACATCCTGGCACCGCCTCAATACATTTTGTAGCACTCAGTTCCTCCCTTTGATTGTATTGTCGCAGACTGTGTTCTGTCAGTGCAGAAGTTATTCGTGATCAAGAGGTCTACTGTTTAGCTGCTAAAGTCTTAATAACTATAAGCATATTGAACTACTTCTGTGCCACTTGTAAATAATCACTGCCCCAGCCCCGCTTAGGGATGTGGATGCCTCCACCCTTCCCCCATCCAGCCACTGAGCAAGGCTTTTGAGAGCCAAGAACCCTGCTTCAGCTTCACAGCTGGCGTCCGTTCTGCTTAGGCGGTACTTCACCATGCTCATGAAGTATTTTGAGCAACTTGGTTGGAAATGCTGATAGAGAGAACTCTGGCTCTTGGTGCAGAATATAAATGATGCTTGTGTTTGCAGGTAGGAGAGGATTCTCGACATGCAGGGCCACCAGTTCTTCCCAGGCCGTCCAGCACGTTCAATACAGTCAGTAGGCCACAGTACCAGGACATGGTTCCAGTGGGTATGTCACCCCTTTCCAGAAATTTGTATCTGTGCTTTCATGCTATACTATATACTATGCATACTGTGCTGATACTTCCCTGTTGTCAGCCTGCTACTTGTTGCCCTGTTTTGAGAAGTTGCATTATCCTTATGAAATTTATAACATCTTAGAGACTTGAGTCTCAAAGGGCTTCTGTCTTATAAAATTCTAGAGGATGAGATTTTTCTACTACTTCTCTACCTTTCCTGAGTAAAGGTATCATATTATTCAAGTTAAAGAAAAATAATTTCTTAAGGCGATATATTATGCAATATTATCAGTTAAGCATTTGGACAAACATATACTTAGTATATATTTAAGGCTTGATACAGAATTTAAGTGGTGCATGAATCTACAGTAGACTCACAAAATAAACAAGCAATGACAGCACATTCTTAAGGTTTTTTTGTAACAAATAGAAGGCAGCTAGAGCCTCCGAAAGAGTAAAATAAAAAGAAATGAATATGGACATATAGGCCTAAAAAAAACCCCGAGTTGTTTTTAAAATGATGAGACTGAAGTAGATCGGTGGAGCATCTGAGACAGGCGGAGTAGCCAGACTGGTGGGAGGCCGTACAGGCCCCCAGCTCCATCTTCAGTTATAGTAGCTCTCCATTTATCTGTTTTTGCTTTAAACATTTTTTCAAAAAAAAACAAAAAACTTTATCATGAAATGCAATGTAGACTAAAGAAGTTTGACAACCACTGGTTAACAAGAAATCTAGGGTCAAAGTCTAACAGTCTACTTAACATGTTTTATGCATAGGTGACAATGATGATTGTGTTGTAGCTGTTGGTATAGTCGGGTGGCTTAATGACATTTCCACATAGGGTTTGAGAATGGTTCGTGCTCTGCATTTTGGTCATAGCTGTTGATGACAACTATTGTATTTTGTCAACTCTGGTTCTGCCTCTTTACCTTGTAAGCAGACCGATACTTAATCAGAAGATGGTTTTGCATTTATAACTGTTGTAATTTCTGTGAGGTTGATTTTGGTAAGCTTAGAACTATCAAGATCTAGAACCTTGTTGGTGATTTCATCTTGCCATTTGGTAATAAATATGGCATATCAAATCAGTTTAATAAGAATTCTTAAGTAAGCCACACCCAACAGATCTAAGTACAGTCACCATATAGCAGGTTAGACACAAACTGGAATGTAATCATCTATAGTGGTGGTAACAGTGTATGTCTAAACTATGACTTTGAGTATAAGGAATATTAACCAGAAAAACAGATTTTAAAAAGTTTGGATTTCTATGCACAAAACTAATAACAGATTTTCAAAAAATTATCTTCTGATTTTTTCAGCTTACAATGACAAGATTGTTGCATTTCTGCGTCAACCCAATATCTTTGAAATTCTACAGGAGCGTCAACCTGATCTTACCAGGAATCACTCACTCAGGTAACCATAATATTGGTATTTGGTTCAGGTTGTGTAAGCCCAACCAGTAAATCTTAGTAATGCTGATAATTGTCTTGAAAATTCTTTCTTTCTGGCATTCTTTATAAAGGCATCTTGTGCACAGTTTATGTCTTCAGCAACAGGTCATCGTAGTGCTGGCTTTTCTTTATTAAGTATAAGAGTTGAATAAGATCAACCAAACAACCTAAAACCTTCTTTAAATAAGAAATATGTAAAAAGAAACAAAATTGTAAGCCGAGAGTGCGTCCTAGATGTGCAAATTATAATGAAAATAATATTAATAAGACATTAACTTTTTGAATGTAGCTTGAGTAAACAAAAGTAACAGAGTTTATTGGATTGAGATTTGTCCAGTCCTAGACTTGGTATTCACATTTTTCCATAATAAAAACAAAGTGGAACCTGAGTAGGGAATCTGATCCTCTCTACAGTCTAGCATTCCCCTACATGAACCCTCTCTTCTAAACAACTCTTCAATGTGTCATGCTTCAAGCCCAGTTTTACTTTCCTGAATACATGCTGTTCCTCTTCCCTGGCAAGCTTTTCTCTTCTCAGTTTGACAAGAAAGATTTTTCCTTTAAAATCTAGTGCAAGCTCCCCCTAGTTGAAATCTTTAAACTCCACTGTAGACTCTCACTCTCATGATCTAGCCTAGTAGTTCCCAATCTCACTGTGCTAGCCATCAGTGGGGATGGAAAAAGGAGAGTTTCTGCTGAAAATCTTACTTAACCCGAAGCCCAATTGGTCTATATGTCACCTTTACTGGTAGAAGTATATTTGCACAATGGTACCATCCTGGCCCACAGCAGTGACACTCAAATACTGATCCACTTTGTTATGCCAAACTGTTTTCATCAGAATCACCTGGGGAACTTTATAAAATACAAAATGCCAAATCTCACCTCCTCCAACTTCTCTCCCTTCTCTGAATTTAGACTCCCTATCCTCCCAGACACTTCCCAGAAATTTAATTCAAGAGATCTGGGATAGAGCCCAAGCATTAGTTGTTAAAAACCTCTCCATGTAATTCTGATGGCATGGCCAGGTGTAAATAACCTCTGGCCTAGACACTAATGTGATGATTAATTATGTAATCACATTGTCCTTTGTACTCTTGTAACTATTTGACTTTCATGCTATAATTTGACTTTTCAAGTCCTTATACTTTATTTTCCAATTATATTATAAGATCCTTGCAAATAGGGATCTTATCCAACTCATCATTATTTCTCCTGACTGCTCAAATATCTAGAATAGCACTTTGCATATAGCAAATGTAAATGCATATATATGTTAATACATATAGTTGATGATTTGAAAATAAATTACCAGATATTCTTATAATATTCTCAATGTCATGTCTTTAAAGTTTTCATTACCTTCTAAAGTTTTTAAAGGCTAAAAATTTCAAGTAGGACACTACAAACATTGCTTATACAGAAATCCTGGTTTCACATGGTTAATATCTAACTCAAGTGTTAGTGCTTTCCCCAACATAAGCATTCTGTTCTCAATCACACAAAAATTATAAAAATTATACAAGTGAGTATTTTGTATATTTGTTTATTATGGCATCCAATCAGTAATCCATGGTCCTCTAGAGAATCTTATGTAAGAAGTTTTAGTTAATAAGATTGCAGAATGAGCTCCTCAGTGGTCTAATTAGAAATTTTGGAGATTCTAGACCTCAAAGCAAGACAAATAAACAGACAAACAAAATAAATTCCTACTCTGTTGCTAATCACAAAGTAAGGAGAACTCTATTTTCTCTCTCTTCTATCACTTCCAGCCATCTCACTCACACAAACACACACACACACACACACACACACACTTCTGTTCCTCCTAATCTACCCGATCCCCCACAAAAAAGAACAAGAAAGAGGGAACTCAAGAAGTTTTTTGCTTTTTCTCTACACTCCACATTATTACTTAAAGCAATTAATGTATCTTTAAATCTCTACTATTAGATGATTTAATCTCCCTGAACAGAGCATCTATCATTATTTTTTAATGACTTGACAAAACCTTAGCAGATCTAACAGAGGGAGAAGCTGCAGGCCCCAGTTGGTAGCTTCCAGTTTTGTTTTTGTTTTCTTTCTGCTTTTTAGAGTCTTAAAAGTCTCTAAAGATTGTTGAAGATTTCTGTTTTTTAGTGATGGTATCCTCAGTTAAGCGCAGTCGTTCTTCTAACATAGCTCTCACGTGATAATCTATCATTAAGAAATTATTTGATAGGCTTTGAGATACGTTTCCATCTATTTACACTTTTTAAAAACTCTTTACAGAATTTGACCGTGGGAAGCAGATGCAGCCATGACAAGCAGAAGAAAGCAGGGACTTAAATCAATGAGATAATGCCATTTCTCTTACCCAGAGTGTGTGTCATACTGTACTTTCATTTTTTTTAAAGTTTTTGGTAGTTAAGCATTTTGCTTATCGTAACATTAAAAAGGGGAAGTTTGTATATCTAAGAGAACATTCTGTTTCACTTAGTTAAAAACTGCATTGTAAAGAGCATTCCCACAAATACAGGGACGGTGAACCAGCTGAGGTTCTTTAATCTCTGACTTCAGTGATATTTTTGGTAACAGATTTATGCATGATACAGAGCCACTGGGGAATCTGTGTGCCGAAAGTAACCGTGGACCTTACATTCATACCTGGAGCAAGAGTTCCCAATACCCACATAGCTCCACATGCGTTCTTCTTCACCCACGGCACAGCCACTTGAAAGAAATATTCCTTCTTATTTTTCTCTCACTGTAATGAGGAAATAAGTTGTAGCCCTTGGAAGATTCAAGCAAATACACCTCTTTACTTTGTGTTTTTCTTGTTTTGCTTGTGATTCCTCATAAACCAGAGGATAGCAAGCAGTGTATTTAGTTTGTATCTGTATACGGCTTTCTCTTTTTTGGGACTCCGCTTGTGTATCTTTTCCTGCAGAGTGGCTGTGGTTGCCTGTGCAGTGGGATGTGGCTTCCACTTTCAACTGCTGCGTTTAAATCGCTGCTCCCTATAACTTCATCTGTCGTGTGAATGTGAATGGTACCAAGTTGGTGCCCTTTTTTTTATTTTGTCTTTAATCTCAAAAGAGATTTATTTCCCTGGTTAGAAAAATGCAAATCTGTCAAATGGGTTCTGTCGCCATTGGATTATTTTATCCCACTGCTGGTTCTTATTGAAAGACAGTAATCATACTAAGATGCTTGTGTGTTGTATCATTAAAATAAAAGCTGAAATAAAATATTCTAACACTTTATTCAAGTATAAGTATACTCATTAAAAAACAACCTTTTAATAACTTTTTATGGATGAATATAACACATATAAATTCAATAAAATTTTTAGTATTGGTGTTTGTACAGCATGTGTGATGAGAAAGGCTATGAACCTGAGTTAAGAGTTGAGAATTTCCCCACTTCTGTGGTTATCATGTCCGGCCAGTAAATCTGTTCCCTACTAGCCCAGCTTTCCTCACGCACCAATGGTCATCACTTTGGGCACCAGGTGGATTCCTTCCGGGGTGCTTCTTATAACAATTTTCTTGCCATGAGGACATGATCTGTGATGCTTTTTTCATTCTGGGTAAATCAGACCATTCCATGTTTTATGTTACTGGTAAATCAATAATTTGGAAGTCAGGAAATTGTGGGCCACAAAAGGCAAGTCGATATGTGTCTCAGGATTCATGAGACCAGAAGCAAGTGTAGACTTGGACCTTCTGTTTCTTTCCATCATCCTATTTTAAGAGCCCTGGAGCTTTGTTATACTCTAATTTTACTCTTAATTCTTTTATTTTAAAAATAATTGCCCATTTTTAAATTATCAAACAATACAGTATTTTATGAAATAAAAAGTTAAAGTGTCGAAAGTTGGCTTATATAAAATAAACCCCAGAGTTCAAAATTTCTAACCTATTTGCTATCCAACTTTGTGGCAAATGAATTTTTCTACATTTAATATTATGCTGGAAATGTTAATCTCAGTTAACATCTCAATTACTTGGTCAAAATAGCATGAATTTGCTTCTGCTAATCCTTGTGCATTTTCCTGTTAAGACTTGCCTAGCTCTCTCCCTTAGTCCTCTTCTAATTTGCTTACTGCTCACTCAGATGGCTGGACCAACATGGCAAGCTTCTGATCTTTGCCGTACCAAATTAATAACAGAAAATTTAGGCTGGGACTATTATTTGTCTATGGACCATGTACATAGGGATAATAACTGAATCCTTTAAGACACCTGATTACAATAATTTATTGACACTATACAGTAATGGTGGGTCCTGGGAAGTCCTAATAGAAGGCTCTGTCTCTCATTGGGAGGTCAGCAGCAATAGCTCTTAGAAAATAGTTGAGTATAGATCTTAAGAGTTCAGGTTTGGATCAGAGAGAACTAGGTTTGAATTCTGGCTCTACAGTTTACTCACCAGGTGACTGAATGAGACATCTAACAGCCTCCAAGTTGTTAGCCTCATCTGTAAAATGGGGATAGGAATTTCTAACTTGCAGAGTCCTTTTGAAGATTAAATGAGATAATGTGTGTAAAGCACTTGGTACTGTGTAAGCATAGTAAGCATACAATAAACTTAAGTTAATCTTATATTAGTAGTCTGCCCTTCACTCCTTTATTATATCACGATGACTCAGTTTAAAGTAATTTGCTCTCAAACTTACTGTAATTCTGTAAACCACTGTCCCTGAGATTGATACACATATAAATGGAATCATGTGATTCTGTGGATATGATTAAAATGCAACTGGTGTCCTTTGATTCCATGATTTAAGTTCTGTGTAAAGGGCTTTTTAGTGTTATTCTCACATTGTTTCCACAGGGAACTTTACTCCAAAATCTTTTACACATATGCAATGAAATCAGCCTTGACTATTCTATGGCTAGACAGAGGACTGAGCCTTCTGGCTCAAGGTTCAGCAGAAATTACTGAAGGCAAAAATAGCAGGGCAATGTCATTGAGATA